GGGGGAGACTCGATCTGGGGAAAGGCGTGAAATCACATACATCACTGCATCACACATCACATCACTAGTGGCAGCCAGTTTTGGGAAGTGCCCGTCCAAAACCCAGATCCAACTAGTGATACCAGTCATAGAAGAAATTCATCACTTCACAGCATTGTTTCACTGCATTGTTTCACCGCAAGCCTTCATAACCTTCCTCAAATCTATTCTTCTGGAAGTTGGTGCAAATGCTACAACAAAATTTACAGTCTTAGTAGCAGAAAACCATGTCTGATACTTATGATTTATAATGAGATAAAAATACTTAACCGTACTTATCTATCATCTGTAATCTATTTGTATATACATATTTTTGGCTCGAAGCATGTGCTGCTGCGGCCATTATATACATATATATATATTATACAGAACCATGATTATCTATAATCTGTGTGATTGTTATTTCAGATTGGCGCTCATCCACATTGAGGCTAGAAATCGGTGCCTCGGCACGCACAGAAGACCAGGTGTCGTACCTCGCATCCTGACAGTGGTTGGTGTTGGGAACATTGGACACACAATGAATTTGAGCAGCAAGGTCAAGCTTTGTGGTGCTTGTCATGTTCAGAAATACCATGGGGAAAACATGAAGATATACGGAAAATAAGATTTATATATATATATACATACATACATACATACAAAGATGCAATACTATAGAAGGGCTGCCGCCCCTGCCGCCGACCCCGGAAGAATGGTCATGTGGTCATGTAAGCAAACTCAATGTTCATAAAGATTCTTCGGTGCTTCGCACTTTCAGGCTTTCGTCTTTTACATATGTAGATTTGTATGAAATATATTTGATATGTTTGAATTAAATATATGTGATGTTTTGTACTGCTTCTGCTTTGTTTCATCAGGCCCTATGGCCATTTTCAATAGCTATGTGACAAATTACTAGAGGGTAACATTTAAAATCCATAGTTCTGAGACTCCCCAGGTCTGGAGATTTTCGTGGGTCCAACATGGTCCCATAATTTTATCTGCATGCATTTATTGTTTACTTTGGATGCACCACTTGGTTGGCTTCATTGACCCAAGTTACCCCTGTTGGTTGATGGGTATATGTTGACGCAAATGCAGCGGACCATGGGAAACACCGAGAACAGAAAATCGGCGCTGCCGGACGGGGAAACACCATGGCCCTGAAGGACGATATAGTCCGAGAATCCCACCAAAAAAAGTCTCTAACGTTGCTTCTGAAACCCTAGAAACAGAACAGAAAATCAGCGCTGCCGGACGGGGAAACACCATGGCCCTGAAGGACGAGCTAGTCCGAGAATCCCGCCAAAAAACTCTTTAACGTTGCTTCTGACACCCTAGAAGCAGAACAGAAAATCGGCGCTGCCGGATGGGGAAACACCAAGCGCTGATTTTCTGTTCTGTTTCTAGGGTTTCAGAAGCAACGTTAGAGACTTTTTTGGTGGGATTCTCGGACTAGTTCGTCCTTCAGGGCCATGGTGTTTCCCCATCCGGCAGCGCCGATTTTCTGTTCTGTTTCTAGGGTTTCAGAAGCAACGTTAGAGACTTTTTTGGTGGGCTTCTCGGACTAGTTCGTCCTTCAGGGCCATGGTGTTTCCCCATCCGGCAGCGCCGATTTTCTGTTCTGTTTCTAGGGTTTCAGAAGCAACGTTAAGACTTTTTTGGTGGGATTCTCGGACTAGTTCGTCCTTCAGGGCCATGGTGTTTCCCCGTCCGGCAGCGCCGATTTTCTGTTCTGTTTCTAGGGTTTCAGAAGCAACGTTAGAGACTTTTTTGGTGGGATTCTCGGACTAGTTCGTCCTTCAGGGCCATAGTGTTTCCCCGTCCGGCAGCGCCAATTTTCTGTTCTGTTTCTAGGGTGTCAGAAGCAACGTTAAAGAGTTTTTTGGTGGGATTCTCGGACTAGTTCGTCCTTCAGGGCCATGGTGTTTCCCCGTCCGGCAGCGCCGATTTTCTGGTCTGTTTCTAGGGTGTCAGAAGCAACGTTTGAAACTTTTTTGGGATTCTCGGACTATAGTTCGTCCTTCAGGGCCATGGTGTTTCCCCGTCCGGTAGCGCCGATTTTCTGTTCTGTTTCTAGGGTTTCAGAAGCAACGTTAGAGACTTTTTTGGTGGGATTCTCGCTATAGTTCGTCCTTCAGGGCCATGGTGTTTCCCCATCCGGCAGCGCTGATTTTCTGTTCTGTTTCTAGGGTTTCAGAAAATCGGCGCTGCCGGACGGGGAAACACCATGGCCCTGAAGGACGAACTATAGTCCGAGAATCCCGCCAAAAAAGTCTCTAACGTTGCTTCTGAAACCCTATAGAAACAGAACAGAAAATCGGCGCTGCCAGACGGGGAAACACCATGGCCCTGAAGGACGAACTAGTCCGAGAATCCCACCAAAAAAGTCTCTAACGTTGCTTCTGAAACCCTAGAAACAGAACAGAAAATCGGCGCTGCCGGACGGGAAAACACCATGGCCCTGAAGGACGAACTA